TCGTATATGTAAATGAACGCGGTTTTTTTGGAAACGAACGCTCGGGCAGTACTTTTACTTTAGTTTGATGCGAAAACGCATGATCGCACCGGCTCGCCTGGTGCGTGCCAGCCTTTGTTGAGTTTTGTTTTCTGTAATGATTTCCAAAGCTTACAATTTCTTTGTTTACATATGTTGAATAAAATTTACCAAATAGCGTCTTTGATGAATTCACCGTTGCCGGATGACTCGTCGCATTTTTTGAAAGAAGATCGAAAACTGATTGATGGTGCAGCGATAGAATTAAATGCGCCCTTGGCAGCTGTTCCAGAGAGCTATCTTCCGGGACTGTTTGGTCCCGATGTTAACCTAAATATTGAAGACGAGAAGTAAGTTCCTTTTCCTCGCGTTTTAGCACATACAAATCAATTGCGTATAATGACAAGGTGATGTCTTTATGTGACCGTCCAGATTTACAAGTCAAAAATAAGAGATTTCTAAACCAGAGATTTTAGGCTGTATCTTGGTACTTCGTGCACAGCTATTGGTTCTTTAATTTTTGCGCCCGTAAGAAGTAATAAAATTTTTCAGCTTTCAAGGCATAAGGGGGCGACGTTTTTTTTTCAGAAAGGCATTGTTGCCGCTCGAGGTTGCTATTGTCGAGCCAATTCTACGATTTCTACAGCTGCTATGTGAAAATCATAATTCGCTGCTGCAAGTCAGTTTTGATTTTCTTTTTTTTTGTCCGTTCAAATTAGCGAGCCTACAGACAATCATTGTTTATGCATTTCCCACATTTAGTCTGTACAAAAATGCATTGTGTGGGAATCATTCCTGTATGTGTGTATGTTTTTTCGCGTGTTTTTCTTTCTGCACAGCTCGAGCAAAGTGTGAAAAACAAGAAGGCTAAAATTTCGATTACACAATTTTCAGTCATGCGCGAATCTCTGAATTCGAAGTTATATTTCAGGTTGCTCTAGTTTGTGTTTTGCAACTTCCTCCTTAACTTCCACTCCTCTTTATTTAATTCGGAAGCAAGTAGATTGCATATCTGAAATTTCGTGGAATTCACCACTCAATGCAGATTAAATCGCCTGCAATTAGTTTACTGGATCTGCTCTGCCTCAGTTTATTTTTTAGTTTGAAACCAAATGTGAATAGTTGGAAACTACATATTTTGGAGCCCTAATTCAACTGTTAGTAGTACGAATAATGTGATATTGATTTTTAAATCCTACGGCTTTCCAAAGTTTGGCTCTGCTTCCAAAAATTAGCCAAACTTGTAATTTCAGCAGAGAATTTACGAACCCAATACCCACGCCTTTGTGCTTTCCAAAAGATCAGTTAGCTAGAACAATCGTCATTATTGATCGTTATTTTGTACTAAAACATTTACTCCAGTGGGTACTCACATCAACTCAGCACAAAAATGTGTAGTCGCGCTTGTTTCGCATAAATATGGCTATTTATTCATTTTATAGCTTACCTGAAAGTTAAATGATGAAAAAATGGAAAAAAA